TCATAATCATAGCCTGGGAACCCTATGGAGCATGGTGTGGCTAAGAATTCTGTAGAGGTGCACCCCTCCTAAGTCTAGGGAAATCCCTCACCATATGGCGAGTGTCGCCACACTCAAAACAAGCTCTAGGACGGTGTGGCGGTTGTGGCTGGCTCGGGCCTGGTCTGCTGGACTTACCGCTAAAAGCACCCCGTGTAGGAGGCACGCTAGATATTAGAGGTGCATAATAAGGCTCCTGAGGTCTAGGAGGAGCCGGAATACCACTAGCGGCTGGAAGAGCTGAATGAACGGGGCGACTCACATAGCCCCTACAATGACGAACTGCAGCTGGGGCACTAGCACCAAAATAATGGCCAAACTCTCAAGACCTCTTGGCCTCTCGGTCCTCCCTATCCCGAGCAAGCATGCCCTCCACTCTCCTGGCAATACTCATAACTTGCTAATACGAGATGTCCATCTCTAACTCCCGGGCCATGCTAGTCCTGATGCTGGGATGGAGTCCCTCAATAAACCGATGGACCCTCTCTCGAACTATAGAAACCAAGGCCGATGCATGTCTAGCCAAGTCACTGAAACAGACTGCATACTCTAAAATAGTCATAGCACCCTGGCGCAACTACTCACACTCCGCGCGCCATGTGTCCCTGAGGCTCTAAGGGACATACTCTCTATAAAACATGTCCGAGAACTGAGTCCATGTAAGGGAACCTGCCTCAGCCGGACTGTCCAACTCATAAGTACGCCACCACTGATAGGCTGCCCCTCGAAGCTAAAAAGTAGTGAAAGAAACCCCACACAACTCTGCTATGCCCATAGTACGGAGGACACGGTGGCACTCCTCTTGAAATCCATGAGCATCCTCTGACGCTAGACCACTAAATGTAGGAGGGTCGTACTTCTTGTACCTCTCGAGCCTACGCTGCTCCTCCTCATAAATAGCTGCCCTACCCTCGGGCTGAACTGGGTTACCGCTGGTACCAGTATAACCTCTAGAATCTAATAAACCTGAACCCGCTGCTTTGGGGTGCAAGCAGCGGGAGTCTATGCTCCTCCCCCGGCCTGAGATGTGGCTGGAGTAAGGGGAATCAACCCCGCCTGAGCTAGAGCACCGAACATGCTCAGGAACTGTACAAGGCACTCTTAAAGAGCTGGAGTAGTAGTAGTAGGCGTCTCAGGTGCCTGCGCTCCAACTGAAGTTACTAGTGCCTCCTCGGTAGTAGCTCGATCGAGTGCTCTGGCTGCACCACTTGGGCATCCTCGGCCTCTACCCCGGCCCCGGCATCGGGCAGCTCTAGCAGGGAGCGCAGGTGCCTGGTTATCTCCGGTTGTACGTGTCCTCACCATCTGTAAGAGAATAGAAGACATAAGTTTAGAATTTCGAAGTCAATAATTTCGCACGACAAGGAATCAAATGAAGTGAAATTTTCCTAACAGTTCCATAGCCTCCCGAAGATAAGAACAGACATCTCCGTACCGATCCGCGAGACTCTAATAATACGGTTTGTGACTCACGACTCCTATGAACCTAGAGCTCCGATACCAACTTGTCATGATCCAAGTTCTCCCTCCATGAACCGTCGTGACGGCACCTAGTCCCTACGACTAGGTAAGCCTAACATTTGCGGACAAAGAAACGAAAACATGAAAGCTAACAACTAACAGGTAAATTTTAATAAGAAATTAAGATGTTGCTTTGCATATACAATAATCACTCTCTAAGTGTACATAAGCTCTCCCAAAACCTGGAATATCGTAACTCACAAACTACAGAATGAAAGCAGTGTTTCTATACTCAGAGTCCAACAAAAGAAATACAAGAAGTGTTTGACATGGGGAAGAATATATAGGGGCTCCGAGGTCTGCGGATGCCGTAGATATACCTTGAAGTCTCTACAGCAGCCTCGCCTCACTGATAATGCGGCTAATAAGCGGTACCTGGATCTGCATACGAAAACTATGTGCAGAGAAGGGCATGAGTACACCACAACGGTACCCAGTAAGTATCAAGCCTAACCTCGGTCGAGTAGTGACGAGATCAGGTCAGGGCCCTACTTGTGTATATATAATAAAATAAGACAGAATGAAATATTGCAGTAAAAATAAATACTGTAATTTGACAAGAATGCAATCATAGAAAGGCAGCAGCTCAGAACACAGATATAACAACAGGGATCTTTCGGAATACCGTCCCGTAGTCGTAAACATAAATGTGCAGGGGATCTACCAGAATACCGTTCCATAGTCCCAAAGTAAATATGTAGAACATGGGGATCTACCGGAATACCATTTCGTAGTCTCAGAGTTAATATACAGAACAGAGGGATCTACCGGAATACCTTACCGTAGTCCCAAAGTAAATACGCGGTACAGGGGGATCTACCGGAATACCGTTCCATAGTCCCAAAGTAAATATGCAACTCAAACAATAGAAATACAACTACAACACGGAATCCTACAATTAAGACTATGTACAAGTCAAGGAAGAAGAAGGAAATTCACTAAAGATGTTGCATAGAGTATAGATAAGCAGTTAAGACACGTAGACATCCTATAAACAGGGTAATTACATATGCTAGCGTAGCTTAGTTAAAGGGAAACATGTATTACTTATTGAAAACGGAGTTTTGCAACAACTAGCCGTGTACGCACTCGTGACCTCACATACACGGTGCTCATATATCAAAAACTGTACCAAATCCTAAGGGGAGTTCCCCCACACAAGGTTAGGCAAGCCACTTACCTCGAACCAAGCTCAATCAATCAGTCATAATGCCTTTCCCACGAATATCCGGCTTCGAGTGGCCCAAATCAAGCCAAAATCAATTACATAATATAAATATAACTATAAGAAACTAATATAGCTAGTGAAATCATAGCTAAAGCAAGAAATTGGAAAATCGCCCAAAAAGCCTCCTCGAGCCACGTTTCGGATTCGAGCAGAAGTCACAAAATACGAATACGCATTCACTCACGAGTTCACTCGTACCAAAATTACTCAAATCTTATACAAAAATCTCGATCAAAACCCCGAAATTCGGCCTAAGAACTTTTCTCAAATTTTCCCAAATTTTCCGTTTTTTCACCCCAAATCCAAAATTAAATGATAAAATTAATGATAGATTAGTGGGATATAACCAAAATCAAGTGTAGAATCATTACCCAATTGATATCTCTGAAAATCCCTCAAAATCTCATCCAAATTCGAGCTCCCAAACTCAAGTTTTGATTAAAATGGCCAAACCCTCGTTTTTGAAATGTTTAATAGTGCATAGTGAATCCCTCTTCGCGAACGCGGTCAAAGCCTCGCGTTTGTGCAGCACAAGCTGCTTCAGTCCTAAAAATACTCATCGCAAATGTGGTGCATTGGTCGCGAACGCGAAGTTCACCTAGCCTGATCCTATGCGAACGTGGGACACTCATCCCGAACGTGTAGGCTTTTATGCCAGGAACCCATCTGACCGTAACGCGAACGCGAGGTCCTTATCGGGAACGCGTATCATTAGTGTTCCATACCTTTGCGAACGCGGGAACAACGTCGCAAACACGAAGAACAATCCCAGTTGGCCTCTCAGATGACCTACGCGAATGCGAGACCTCTCTCGCGAACGCGATGAAGGAATTGACTGCAACAAAACACCAGAAAATCTGCCCACTCCCAAAGTCCAAAAATGATCCGCTAAGCACCCGAAACTCACCCGAGGCCCCCGAGACCTCAACCAAACATACCAACCAATCCTAAAACACCATATGAACTTATTCGAGCTCTCAAATCACATCAAAAAACGCTAAATTCACGAATCATCCTCCAATTCGAACTTAAAGAACTTGAAACTTCAAATTTCTACAACCGATGCCGAAACCTATCAAACCACGTCCGATTGATCGCAAATTTAGCACACAAGTCATATTCTACATTATGGACCTACTCCAGCTTCTGGAATCAGATTCCAACCCCGATATCAGAAATTCCACCTCTGGTCCAAAACTCCAAAAATTCGACTTTCGCCATTTCAAGCCTAAATAAGCTATGAACCTCAAAAACATAATTCGGACACGCCCCTAGGCATAAAATCACCCAACGGAGCTAACGGAATTGACAGAACTCCATTCTGAAGTCATCTTCACATAGTTCCGACTGCGGTCCAAATTCTAAGACTTAAGCCTCCGTTTAGGGACTAAGTTCCCCAAAACACTCCAAAAACCAAAACAAACCTCCCGGCAAGTTACAATAGCAGAAATAGATACGAGGGAAGCAGTTAATAGGGGATCAAGGCATAAATCTCAAAACGATCGGTCGGATCGTCACATTATATTAACAATCGAAACAAGCAAAATAAAGTTAGAGAACAATGCTCGATGTTTAGTTACTTGAAAGGAAATTAAATCTTGTCATTACTAACTCTTGAATCTATTTTTATTTTATTTTATTTTTTCAAAGATACATGAATTTATGGATCCATTTACCACGAATGTTAGGACTTATACAACCATGTAATTCTTTCTGTACTTATTTCCTCCTTTTTCACAATTTCACTGTACATAATTTTTTGATGACGGAAAATGAAATATCGGTGAGAAAAGGATCATAATACATTTTGCTGCAATGCATATAAACTAATAATAAAAATCCATTTAAAATCTTATATACATTATAAAAAAGAAAGATTTCTTTTTTAATTGTGTAAGCTCAAGATCATAATTCGAGATCAAATTTTTAAGCCTTGAAAGAGTCATTGGTATGGATGCACACATTGAAGAGTGAAGACTGAAGCTAATAACCTAGTTCTTTCCACGATTTAACAAAGGCATAATTATTTGTTCTTGTATTCTGTAATTCATGACCGAAACCAGATGCTTTTGACACGTTTAAATTAATTAATTAACAGTATCACACTTCATCAGAAGAGACAGAAAAACAGAACAAAATATAGAAATTAGAAAATGAATTAAATTAAAACGACTCAAAACAAATCCTTTTTCCTTTTGTTTGCTTAAAAGGAAAAGATGCATTACATTAATAATTATTACTACGTTGTATTGCATGAATTACTTTTGCTAGGAGCACAATGTACAATGAGATCAATCATGAAAGTATTAAATACAAAAGGAGCAAAGGGAGATAATATCATCCCCTAGATAGTTACATCCATATTTAGCTAGACTATGTATTACTTGATTCGTTTTCCTGTATGCTTCTCGTTTATATGGTTGGGTATAACTTTGTTCAATTAGCATCAACCTTTAGTCATCAATGATATGATCGATGATATTTCTCTCATTTCAATTTCCAGGCGAAGATAAAATTGTCTGGGAGTCTTGGGTAATGAAGTCGAAGCACATTGTCACTTGGTTTAAATACTGAGTGCAGACAAGTTTATTTTTTCAGTTGCATTCCTTGAAAAGAGCATTGTAATCTCCGTTTGACTATTTGTTGTGCAATTAGGTCCTTTTGAGAAGCCAATAGTCCATTATCTTTTGTCATTTCTAACCTCTACATTTGTTTTCTCTGAAAGAACTTTATGTGTTTAACTTGTAGCAATTTCGTGGGGTCAGCACCAACCTAATTCTTGTGTGTAGCAATGCTGCTGTTTTAACACTTTCATCAATTCTTTAACTAAATAAAATCTATTGATACAAGTATGTATAATGTAGATAATGTCTCTTTAATTTCTCTTTTGCTATATCTTAACATTTGTGTCACCAAAGCATTTGAAGAAGCCATATCAAGCCAAAAGATGCAATCACCGCGTTACAAGAAGCTAATTAGGTCTGGTAATTCTTGAGGTTTACCAGGTACATTAATGGTAGAAGTAGGAATCAAAGAATTAGTTTCAAAAGGATTAATTGGTGTTGGTGTAACTTTTACTATAGCATGAGAAGTGCCATCATTTTGCTTCAAATCTTCATCAAATGTCTCCCAACGATCAGTAATTACTGTCCTCAATTTGTTCTGTTCTTCAAGATTTTGATTACCAGTTTCATGTACCACAATGGCTTTAGTCTCATGTACTAATTCATGCATTTGTGAGGCTTTTTCAGAAACCCCATTAATGATTTCCTCAAGTTCTTTAATATCTTCATCTGGTATTTGCTCAACTCTTGGACATTCTGCTGCATTTTTCACCCCAATGCTTCTACAAAGCTCAAAATACAAAGACAATTCTTCCCCTTGAATGGTTGCTTTTTGCACAATCCTAAGTGCCATGCTAGCTTCAACTTTCCCTGCTGAATAAATCCTCAACAAAGTTCTAGCAATTCCATTGCATATTCTGCTATAAACATCGAAAACTTCAATCATAACACAATCCATTGCTTCAAGAACAAGAGGGACAATAGCTGTATGACATAGTGGCCTAATTTCAAGCAACATGTCAAGCAAAAATTGAAGCTTTTGAAGCATGACAAGATCTTGAATCATGGAATATCTTCCTTCAACAACAAGATTTTTATTATTGATGTTGTCCAAATTTTGTAGATTCTTCCTTTCTTGCAAATTCATGAAAAGAAGAGAGGATTTCTGATCAAGGTAGGTAAAATAAGCGCGAACAAACGCATTAATCCCCCACATTTTTGAAGGATTAGAATGGCCATCTTTGAAATTTGAAAGATCAAATGGCAATCTTCCAATTCTTTGAATAGCAGGGAGTTTGGAACTATAAACGCCGTGCATGAGCATTAAACCTTTAATTGCAACAACCCAACTTTTCGTTTTCTCCATACGTAAAGAAATTGCCCATATAAGAGATTTAAGATGGCTAGGAGATAAACGTAGCCATTTGTAAACACGATCAACATTCTTCATATCAATTGAGAATTCGTCGTGACTTGTGGCTTTGATTACAGCAGCTTCCATTTCAGGATTTCGAAAAGCTGTTCGTCTTGATAAGCTAGCAAGCCATAGGCTGTTACGATCTTTGATTAATCCAGAAGCTTTTTTCCATAGCCTCATTGTTCTTGTTGGGTTGTTTTAGCTATATGTTTTCACCTGCTTTTATTTTCTTTCTTCTTTTCTTTCTCTTTTTGATATTCTAAGTTTGTGATTACCAGTAAAACTATTGGGATCTTTAAGGAATTGGGAACAAAAGAGAACAAAAAAAACAAAAAAAACAAGAAGAGTTGACTAGTAATGGAACCCAAACACATGGCATGAGTCATAACAAGCCGGCCAAAGATATAAAATAAAGGAACCCCCCATTTTTTGTGAGGTTTGTTAGAATTACTAGTTTTGTTCAGTAAACTTCTTCCTTCAATGTTGTGTTTTTTTTATTAAAAAATTAACTTTTGTACCTTAATTTTGTTTTATTGTTGTTTCTTTTATTTGAGTTTTCTTTTCTACTTATGCTGGTAGTATTTTTCCTTTCCTTTACAAGGTATTTTTACCATAACTCTTTACTCGTATTTTTTTTTAACCGGTTTTGAAAACACTTTTGAGGGTCTATCTTATTAGCTTCTCTACCTCTCACAAGGTAAGAATAAGGTCTGCGTACACCTCATCCTCAGACTCTACTTGTAGGATTTCACTTAGTATGTTGTTGGTATTATCTCCTTTATTGGCACAATTGTTTTTGAATATTTTTTGTTTCAGTGAAACAAATCAACTAATTTTCTAAGAAAAAATACTCCTAATCAGAGGTGGATCTAGGAATTGAAGTGTATGGGTTCCTACCGCAATTTTAAGTCAATATATTATAATAACCGAATTAAGGAACGAGTATCACTATTCAACATACATTTAGAAAATAACAAAACACTTAAAGATAACATATGAATATAAACATTATCATTACAATTGTACTCGACGACTAGTCATGTTTTGAAAACGATCAATGATCGCATCATTAGATAAACTTTCAAATACTTCATCCTCTATATAACAAACTAAACAATCATTAAAAAATTCATCACCAATTCTGCTTCGCAAGTCATTTTTAACGTACTTCATCGAAGAAAAAGCTCTTTCTACCGTTGCAGTAGCGACAGGCAACTCAAACATAACTTCACAAGCAAATAAACACGTCTCCAAGTCTTGTGCAAATTTGTTTTAACCAATGTCTCTGAAAGATCTCCAAGTCTTTTCAAGTTAGAGAATTCATTGCCCGACTCTCGCACATAGTCAATATAGATGTCAAGCTTAAAACCAAGATCCTCAAGCATAGAATCAGTAAACTCATCCGGATAGTGTGTAGCAAGTTTCATAATCTTGTCCTTATCATAATTTGCAAAAGAATTATGTGGACTCAAACTAGCCATACGAAGAAGTAGATCAGAATTCACTTCATTGAAACGACTGTTAAGCACCGAAAGTTGCAAATCAATAATAGCATAGAAAACCTCTACACGCAAATGATAAGAATATGTAACACTTGATTTCTTACGCTTTGACTTTCTAGGAGCATAATTCATATCCATTTCGGGGATCACGATACCATGCTTAACACAAAATAAAGAGACGTCTTCTAACAAAGAATTCCATCTAGAATCTCTCATATCTTGCAATTGTCTCTTTGCGAAACCAACAAGCTTCATTGCACTTACAATATCTTGATATTTTTTTTGCAAAGCCATATTTAAATCATATGTAAGTGCCAATACTTTCAACATCAAAAGTAACATATACACAAAGTCATAAGATCTTATGTCATCCACTAGACTTTTTGCTATTGATCTCTCATGATAATTTGAACCCTCAATTGCAAGAACTCCAAGAACATGAACAATTGATGAGAATAAACTAATAAAATTACGTACTGTCTTAAAATAAGAACCCCGTCGAGTATCACCTGCCCTTTGAAGTCCAAGTTCTTGATTTAAACCGCTTCCCGTATGAACCTCACCAAGCACTAGTAGTTCCTCTAATTTTTCTGCTTGATCATCTCGAAGCATCTCCCTACGCTTAAAAGAACCCCCAACAATGTTTAAAACTTTTGCAAGAATATAAAAAAATTGTTCGGCCTCATAATGTATTTTTGCAATAGCTACAAGAGTCAGCTGCAATTGATGAGCAAAACAATGTATGCAATACGCCGAAGGAGTATCATTCATAATTAAAGTTTTAAGACCATTAATTTCTCCTTGCATGTTACTAGCTCCATCATAACCTTGTCCCCGTATTTGAGATTTACTCACTGAATGTTCCAAAAGCGAAGAACAAATTGCTTCTTTTAGTGACTTTGCCGATGTATCTTTAACATGAACAATGCTAAGGAATCGCTCAATAACTTTACCCTCTTTGTTGACATAACGCAAATCAAGCGCCATTTATTCCTTGTGAGAGACATCCTTAGACTCATCAACCAATATCCCAAAGTAATCCCCGTTCAAGTCTTCCACAATGGCTTTCAATGTTTCTTTTGCACAAGAACTCACATTGTCTTTTTGTATGCTTGGACAAATCATAATGTCATTTTTTGGAGCATTTTCTAATACAACTTTCTTTACATCATCCTTCTTATCCGCATACCACTTTAAGAGATCTAAGAAGTTGCCTCTTCTTGTAGATGTTTCGCGCTCATCGTGACCCCGAAAAGGCATTCCTTCTTTCAAAAGATACCTTGCAACGTCAATTGAGGCATTCAAGCGGACCCGATACTCACTTTTAGTTTTCTCGGATTGCTTATCAAAAGATGTTAAAATAGATTGCGCTTGATTCGATAAATCTAGCATCATCTTGAAACATCGATTATGAACACTATTCACTTCACTCACATGTGCGTTAAGCCTTTCTATATCTTTATTCCAAGTCCTAAAATCATCTTTTGTAAAAGAGTCACTTACTTTTTTCCCATATCCTCCAATCTCATTTTTAAACAAGTAACAACATAAGCAAAACGCTGCATCTTCTTTAATACTGTATTCTAACCATTCAGAGTATGAAGTTTTAATCCATTCCGGATTAAAATGACGCAATTTCCCACCAAAATTTGTTTTTGGAAAAATAAAATTGCGAGGCCGACAAGGCTCTCTTTGAATGAAATGTCTTCTCACGCGGTAGCGTAGATTAGGAGGAATTTCTGAAATTTGTTTTCATTCACCAGGATTGGGTTTAAGAAGATTCGAATCCAACATAATATCTATATGTGATGGTTGGGAAGAATTGACATTGTCATTAATCACTGGACATGAGGGAGAACTAGAAGTAGAACCTGAAGAGGTTTGCGGCTTGAAAAATTTCTTGATCATATTGACTCTCACTAAAATGCCCTACAAGTCATAAGACACAAATTAACTATTACAATTTATTATTATTTTAATTAAAAAATAAGATCTATAACCCAACTTCATAAGTTGAATAAAAGATTAATATTCACAAAATCCAAAAATAATACTAAAATTTATAGCACATGGTCCCATTTAGGAGTGAATGAATAGCAGATGGTCCCATATAGCAGATGGTCCCATATAAAAGGTTCCAAGGACGAGTTCTTTTGCAATTTTGTTAGAGAACAAATTTATATCAAATAAAACTAACATGCATTTGTTTTAGGTTGTTCTTTTAACAAAACTAACATGCATTTGTTTTAGGATAAGATAGTTTTGACATGGTCAAAAGAACTTTCGTCATATAACAACGATCAAAAATGACTGTTTCGTGTTATGATCTCACTCGACAATATCTTCAACAACGTCCTAAGAAAATCAAATCCGAATGTTATATTGAAAGTCAGGGCATGCGGCGCAATTCTCTCTTAAAAATCTTTCTTTAACATCATTCGGGAGTAGAAAATTATATTCGTTTTTAAATTACAAGAATATATATATTAATTAGGAAGAATTACATATAAGTACAACTCATACACTTACATTGCAATACAATAGCCTAGATTCAACTTTACAAATCTGTAGCACAAAGATATTAGGCTCAAGTTCGAAGAAACATGATTGTCAAGATTCCCACGGGGAATTTTGTCTGCTTTTTTATTCTTTGCACACAACCACCTTATATCGATCATATACTGTAACGACCCGACCGGTTGTTTTGAGTATTGGCATTCAGTTCGGTGATTTATGGTTTTGAGTAGTTTCATATTAAGTATTATGACTTGCGTGCATGGTCGGTTTCAATTTTCGAGTGATTCGGGGTTGATTTGGAAGAATGATTCTCATTTTTAGAAGCTAAAGTTTGAAAAGTTGACGACTTTAGTGAAAAAGAACCCGAAATGGCATTTTGATGGATCCGATAGGTTCGTATCGTAATTTTGGACTTGTGCGTATGCTCGAAATGAAATTCGGAGGCCCCTAGGTTGATTTGTCATGTTTTGCCGAATGATGGCAATTTGTGGCTTAGAAATTTCCTACTTTCACCATGGTTTGACCTTATGGCTATTTGGTTCGCATTTTAGTTTCAGGACTTGGAATAGGTCTGTTTTGTCGTTTGTGACTTGTCTGCAAGTCATTCCGACTTGGTTTGATAGGAATCAGACGCGTGGTTGCGTTTTTTAGAAGTTCTTGAAATTCATTGTGATTTTCATGTGTTTTGGTGTTCGATTCTTGATTCCGGATATTATATTGTTGTTTTGATCGCATGAGCGGGTTCATATGATGTTTATGTACCTGTGGGGATCTTTGGTTGGAGCCCCGGGGGCTAGGGTGAGTTTCAGACGCATTTCAGAGTGTTTGAAAGTGTTTCAATCTTGCTGATTTTCGGTCTGGTGCTTCAGGTCTCGCAAATGCGATTTAGTTCACATTTGCGGATTTCGCATTTGTGAGGAGGGCTCCGCATTTGCGAGGTTGGGGTGAACTGCTGTATTCACATTTGCGAACTTATAAATCATTTTTGCGATGGGAGTTGGGGGCTAGGCAGGCTGCATTTGCGACCTTTTCTCGCATTTGCGGTATCTGCCAGGTACGCTTTTGCGAACTTTTTGTCACTTTTGCAACTTCTTTATAGATTGATGAGTGGTCGCTTTTGCAATCATTTTTTCGTATTTGCGACCCCAGATCCCAAATGCGACACCCACAGCTTGTTTATAGCTGGGTATTTCGGGACTTAGCTTCCTTTTATCATATTTTGAGCCTTAGACTCGGTAGGAGGGGATTTTGAGGAGGGATTTTCACATACAACTATTGGATAAGTGATTTCGATCAATTTTTAATTATATTACATGATTATGTATGAGATTTACCATCAAATTCATGACAATCTAAGAGAATTTTTGGGAAATTTTGTCTGTATTTTGAAAAATAAAAATTTGAGATTTGAGAGTGAAATCGGACTCGGATTTAAAAATAAAACACATATATAAACTCGTAGGATTATGGATAGTCGAGATCGATGAGTGTCTCCTTTATTGGAACAATTGTCTTTGAATATTTTTTGTTTTTTGGAAAACAAATCAACAAATTTTACAAGAAAAATAAAATACTCGTAATGTTTTTAACAAAACTAACATGCGTTTGTTTAAAGATAAGATAGGTTTGACATGGTCAAAAAGAACTTTCGTCATATACCAGCGGTCGAAAAGGACTGTTTTGTGTTATGATCACTCGGCAATATCTGCAAAGAACAATGGTAGGTGACTCTGAGACCTAAGAGCGGGCATGCAGGTATACCTTAAAGTCTCTGCAGCAAATTTCACACAGTTACCTAACACCCAACTCACTCTGAGGTATCTGGATCTGCACAAAAATGTGCGGAAGCATAGTATAAATATATCATAGCGGTACCCAGTAAGTATCAAAATTAACCTCGATGGAGTAGTGACGAAGTTCAAGTCAAGACACTTACTAGTCAATAACCTGTGCAGAATATCAATATAAAACTATCAACGGAAAAACAAGGTAAGGAAAGCCAACGAAGGGTAATCGTGTGATAAACAGCAAAATAATCAAGCACAGATAAAATACAAGTGAAAGCAATTAAAGGATAACAACGACAGTTCTAATCATCAAACTATTCCAACACAAAATTTACAACAAGAATCACCCCTAGTTATCAGACCTCATAATCACAAATTACGAGTACCCATATCACAAATCTAATACACATGTTAGCTCGTGGCCACATTATCAATCACAACCGCACGGACAACTCCCGTGCTGTACAAACAACTCACGTGCCAATGCCACCACATGCCAAAACAACAATACCAATATTACAATAAAACATAGCCCACGGCTCAACAACGAAGTATACAAGAATTTTAATAACAAAACGAAACGGGAATAGCTCAATAATAAAAGACAATCCATGTAATTACAACTTCAATCAAGAGCATGGTAATAGCCTAAAAGCCTAAATCGGTCAATACCACATATAAGCGCGTGTACCCACTCGTCGCCTCGTGTACACATCTTTCATATAGTTCAAGTAATGCAATTAATCGGGGAAGTTTCCTACATAAGGTTAGGCAAGATACTTACCTCAAAGCTCTCAATGAGTAGTCTAGAAATGCCTTTCCTTTAAAATTCATCCCCTCTCGGCTCAAATCTAACCAAAATCGACTTAAAAACATCAACTAATGCAAGAGAAATCAATTTCAGTAAATAAAGTTAGGATCTTTACACAATACCCCAAAAGTCGACAAAGTCAACTCCGGACCCGTCCAACCAAAACCCGAGTCGACATGTAGATCTTGACTATCCATAGCCCTACGAGTCCAAATATGTATTTGGTTGTCAAATCCGAGTCCAATTCGTCTCTCAAATCTCAAATTTTTATTTTTTAAAATATAGACAAAATCCCCCAAAATTTCTCTTCAAATCTCATGATTTAGATGTTAAATCTCATAAACAATCATGTTATGTAATCAAAATGAATTAAAAATACATATCCAATAGTTTTATTCGAAATCCCTACTCAAAATCGCCTCCTACCCAGTCTAGTGGTTCTATATGTGATAAAATGAGATTAAGTCCTGAAATACACAACATATAAAAGATGCAGGTGTTGCATTTGTGACTTGGGTTCACAAATGCGAACCCTCACAAAAGCAAACTCTTGCAAAAGCGAAAAAGGCTTCGCAAAAGCGAAGCTTCGATAGCCCTGAACAAAGCAAAAGCGATAAAAACTATCGCAAATGCGAACTATGGCCTTTCACGAAGGCAACCAGTCGGTCGCAAAAGCAACCTTCCCCTAACCTAGGCCTCTTTGCATTTGCGATCGCGAAAGCCATGGTCGCATTTGCGACCTCCTCATCGCACATGCAATGGAACCAGTTATTGCACACTCAAACTAAAAAAAAAAAAAAATCTGAAACCATTCGAAACTCACCCGAGCCCTGGGGTCTCCATACCAAACATCAACACAAGTCTAAAAATATCAAACAAACTCGCTCATGCGATCAAAAATACCAAGATAACATCCGGAACCACGAATCGGACACCTAAATACATGAAAATTACAATGAACTTCAAGGATTGCTAGAAACACAACCATGCGTCCGATTCCTATCAAACCAACTTATAATGACACCAAATTTTGCAAACAAGTCACAAATGACAAAAATGACATTTTTCAATCCAACTAAAATCCGAACCCGATAGCTTTAAGGTCAAACTTTGGTCAAACATAAAATAATTCTAAACTTTCAAATTGGTAACTTTCGCCAACAAGTTCTAGATCAACCTAAGAACCTCCGAATCCAACTTTGGGCATATGTATTAGTCCAAAATCACAATCCGGACCTAACAGAACCATCAAAATTCCAATTCAAAGATCAAATACGCAAAAGTCAAATTTTGTCCACTCTTCCAACTCAAAGATTCTAAAATGGAATCATTATTCCAAAACAATCCCGAATTGTTTGAAAACCAAAACTGACCAAACACACAACTCATAATACCTAATAAGAAGATACATAAGACCTAAACCCACTAAACGGAACGCTAAAGCTCAAAACGACTGGTCAGGTCGTTACATTCTCCCCATATTAATTAAACGTTCGTTCTAGAACATGCCAAGAGTTGTTCCAAAGCCACCAAATCAATGCATAAAATTACCATGCACATACACACGGGTGATCCCTGTTGCTCCAAAATGCACACGCAAGTATACGTGGTCGACAAGTAATATAATGATAAGTTGAGTGTCGAACCCACAGAGACTTGTGTAAACTACTCACGGAATTACTCAAATTTCTATTCAATATAGCTACAATCAAAATCCAATGATATGATTATATTTTACTATGATTCTAAGTAAAACTAAATTATCAAGTAACGAATTGATTGTTGTGTATTCAGTAAGACAAACATTCCAGGGTTGTGATCGATTCACCATTCGTATTGTGTTCTAATTAACTCTCCCTTTCATATTATTCACCCATGATTGCTAATTAATCGATAAATGCTCTCATAGACCTCTCCCGAAGTACTACTCACCTATTCTCAATAGATTAACGCCTATATTCTTATGGAATCAACCTATTAAGAACACATTAAGATTACGATATTTAATTAAGCACGGTGACTAGGTATATTCCTATCCTAACCACAAATCCGCTCCCCCTAAGGGTTAAGATCATGCTCTCTTCAATTCTTCTCTAATCTAAACATGGCTTTCCCAAGCATAGCATAGATAGTAAATAGAACCTAACTGTTGGCCAGACAATTAAGCAATTAAACACAGAATTGACGAAACAACCATATAGTGGTGAATTATAATCAAGGTCAAGCTAATATCAAACAACAATATTCATGGCTAAATCACAACCCCAGAACAATGGGTGTTTAGCCACTCATACTCATGTTCATCACAATAGGGTTCAAATTTATCACAATTAGCAAAAACAACGAGAAGAAAAGAAGAAACTGATGGTTAAATCTCCTCCTTGCCTCTTGCCTCTCTATTTCTCCCTCTAGACTATGAAAAACTGATAAATTAACCTTGGGCGAGCTTGACTTTATATAGGTTAAGTGGGTTTCTCTCCAGATTTTCAATCTTGCCCCTGAATAACTCTTTTCTGGACTGGGAAACGCGCGAGCTCGCGCGTGACTTCGCGCACCATTCTGCCTCAGCTCCCTAACACGCGCGACTTCGCGCATGAGCTCGCGCACTTGGGCCATCATTTCTTCCATTTCTTTGTCTCGTCCTTGCGCGCACTCAGCTCCGAGGGGTCGTTCTTGCTCATAAATCATCCCAATAGCCTCTTGAAAGCATCACATAAGCTCCTCATCCTTCAATGTATACAATTCACAATTAGAGCCTATTTTTCATCAATTAACCATATTATGACATTGGAATATAATCAAGCGGAAGCATAAACAATAGCTAAATCACTAGTTTTAACCTATTATCAACACCCCACACTTAATTCATTGCTAGTCCTCGAGCAATCAAACTATACTCTCTAGAGATTCCTTCACTCAACCATTTCCCCTAACGCATTACACCCAGAACAATTTATATACATTACGCCTAGCAGTGAACAATCCTAGCCTCAAAGGTCGACTTTCAAGTGCCATGCAATATTCATACTTCCTCAACATACTCTACACAGAGGTCAAGACTTTCCTTTCCTTCACGAATCACATGCCCTCACAAAAGAAGTCACATGCATGCAATTGGTACCATAGGCTTGCCCTTAATGTAAATCTCTACTAATGTAGGCTCACTCGGTCTAAAATCAATTAGGACTTTTTCATGGTTGTAATGTGGGCTAAGGGGCGGGTAGGATATATTTAGGAATAGTGGTTCACCCTCCTAAGCACTTTAACACACCACATAAGCACTTTGAGCGCAAATTTTTCAATCCCTACTTCAATTTCACAAACAATATCACCCAAAAATTTCTCCCTCTTTCTTTAAGCACTACTTTAATTTATACCCCACTAGCAAGAACAAGACAACAATTTATTCACTATATTTTCCTTCTTCTTTTTTTTTTCAATTTCCGCTAGTGGTGTATTATTTTACAAATATAAGTGCACCCATCTTTCTTTCATTGGTTCCACTCAAAAGCCACCCCACGCTAGTCCCTTCTTACTTCTTTTAGTGCTCATCTCACAATTAAAGTGCTTTAAGAGGAAAAAAGATCAAACATATCAAATAAGAACAAAAAGGATATAGGCTTGTAATCTGGGTGCCAAATAAAAGTCTATAGGCTCACAAAGGGTTAACTAGGGATATAATTTATCTATGGTAAGCAGTTAAGCTCAAAAAGATCAAAGAGGGCCTAAAATCATCTTTCAAACCGAGCATTACCTAAAATTTTGCTTCAACTCACATACCGGGCAAGTTCTAGATACAAGTACACAACATGGACTACACAAAACCTCACCACACATGGCACATGACTCGTTTCAGATCAGCTCCTCAAGATACTTCATTACGAGCATTCAATTCAGTCAAACATACAGATTAAGGTACTATAGTGAGATTCAACAAACAAGACTAAGCGTTACACTCTAGGGTCTATTGTGTTCAGGTGTGTTAACGCTATGGGTTCTCTTTTGAATTTTCTAGCTCGTAGCCCATTAACCTAATCTACAAATAAAAAGTAAAAATAAAAACTACCTACACTCGGTTTAAGTTAAAACCTTGGAAAAGAACCGTGGTATAAAGAAAAACCAAGGGGAAGTTGCTACACTACCAAAAAAAAATCTTTTTGGTGTTTTTCTTAGACTAACTTCCCTCAAGAAAATCGTCTAAAAGATCCGTCATCAGGAAGAGTCTACATATTTTCAATTTTTTTTCGACTTAGTCCCTCAAGAACCCCGTCGAAAGGGATCCGTCGTCGGGACGAGCCATTTATCTATTTTAACTAATGATTCCTACTTAATGCTAAACTAGCAAAATCAAACAAAACAAAACAAAAACAACATTCAAATGATACATCTACAAACATACAACAAAGTACCCCCAGCTGCAGCATCTACCACGATCTTAGTTTCAGAATGTAGCCCTTCTATGAAAGTGTGAGCTAACACTTCATTCTTATGATTGTGATGAGGACAGTCTCTGAGTAGCCCCTTGAACGTTTCCCAAGATGAGTACAACGATTCACCTCTTTCTGTTTGAAGGCCACTATTTCACTTCTGATCTTTGCAGTTTTGCCTGAAGGAAAGAACCTTTCCAGAAATTTTCTTGCCAAATCATTCCATGATGTAATGGAGTTAGCTGGTTCTGCCTTTAGCCATCGCTTAGCCTCACCCAACAGAGAGAATTGAAAAAGTGTGAGTCTCACATAATCTGGAGTGACCCCGTTAGTGATATAAGTATCACAAATCTCCAAGAAGTTCAGAATATGCTGCTGCGGATCCTCATGTGGAAGACCCATAAATTGCCCGTTTGCATGAAGCAGCTGGATCATACTCTGTTTCAGCTCAAAGTGCCTGGTGATCCTGGGCTTCACGATACTAGAGGTGACATTAGCAATGCTGGGCATTGCCACCTCCTGAACAGCCATGGGTTGCTCCTCTGCCATGTCCACAGGAAATTGAACAAGTGGCTGAATATTATTCGTGTCCCTTGCTTCCCTTAACCTCCTGTGAAATGTTCTCTTAGGTTCAGGATCAAAGCGTTGAAGTCGGTCCTGGCTTCTAACCCTACGCATTCAATCAAAGTTCCTGAGATCTGAGCAACAATCAAGTAACGTTAGACTAGACAAAATAAGCAATTAAAGAAAAAACTAGCAAGTAGCTAATATTCAAGTCCCCGGCAACGGCGCCAAAAACTTGTTGCTCCAAAACGCACACGCAAGTATACGTGGTCGACAAGTAATATAATGATAAGTTCAGTGTCGAACCCACAGAGACTTGTGTAAACTACTCACGGAATTACTCAAATTTCTATTCAATCTAGCTAAAATCAAAATCCAATGATATGATTATATTATACTATGATTCTAAGTAAAACTAAATTATCAAGTAACGAATTGATTGTTGTGTATTCAGTAGAGACAAATATTCCAGGGTTGTGATCGATTCACCATTCGTATTGTGTTCTAATTAACTCTCCCTTTCATATAATTGACCCATGATTGCTAATTAATCGATAAATGCTCTCATAGCCCTCTCCCGAAGTACTACTCACCTATTCTCAATAGATTAACGCCTATATTCCTATGGAATCAACCTATTAAGAATGCATTAAGATTATGATATTTAATTAAGCACGGTGACTAGGTATATTCCTATCCTAACCACAAATCCGCTCCCCCTAAGGGTTAAGATA